AAAATCTCATTAAAGTATTGGCAGAAGCAATACTATTTTAAGAAAATTGATCATGTTTTACCATTTTTGCACGGTTGTTACTTCAGTCGATGGAAAAAGGAGTGAAAATACCCACCATTGAAAAGGGACAGTATTTTCTTAAAAATACCATTGAAGCATTGGCAAATGCAATAGACTATTAAGAAAATTGATCATGTTTGACCATTTTCGCGCGTTTGTTACTTCTGTCGATGGAAAACGGAGTGAAAATACCCACCTTTGCAGTGGGACAGTATTTTCTTAAAAATATCATTAAAGTATTGGCAAAAGCAATAGACATTTAAGAAAATTGATCATGTTTGACCATTTTCGCGCGTTTGTTACTTCAGTCGATGAAAAACGGAGTGAAAATACCCACCTTTGCAAAAGGACAGTATTTTCTTAAAAATACCATTGAAGCATTGGCAAAAGCAATACACTTTTAAGAAAATTGATCATGTTTGACCATTTTCGCGCGTTTGTCACTTCAGTCGATGGAAAACGTAGTGAAAATACCCACCATTAAAAAGGGACAGTATATGCTTAAAAATAACTTTAAAGTCTTGGCAAAAGCAATACATTTTTAAAAAAATTGATCATGCTTGACCATTTTCGCACGTTTGTTAGTTCAGTCGATGGAAAACGGAGTGAAAATACGCATCATTGAAAAGGGACAGTACTTGCTTAAAAATACCATTGAAGCATTGGCAAAAGCAATACATTTTTAAGAAATTTGATCATGTTTGACCATTTTCGCGCGTTTGTTACTTCAGTCGATGGAAAACGGAGTGAAAATACCCACCATTGAAGAGGGAGAGTATTTTCTTAAAAATACAATTGAAGCATTGGCAAAATCAATCGACTTTAATGAAAATTGATCATGTTTCACCATTTTCGCACGTTTGTTAGTTCAGTTGATGGAAAACGGAGTGAAAATACCATCCTTTGCAAAGGGACAGTATTTTCTTAAAAATATCATTAAAGTATTGGCAAAAGCAATAGACTTTTAAGAAAATTGATCATGTTTGACCAGTTTTGCACGGTCGTTACTTCCGTCGATGGAAAACGGAGTGAAAATACCCACCTTTGCATTGGGACAGTATTTTCTGAAAAATAACATTAAAGTATTGGCAAAAGCAATAGACTTTTAAGAAAATTGATCATGTTTGACCATTTTTGCACGTTTGTTAGTTCAGTCGATGGAAAACGGAGCGAAAATACCCACCATTGAAAAGGGACAGTATTTTCTTAAAAATTACATTAAAGTATTGGCAAAAGCAATTGACTTTTAAGAAAAGTGATCATGTTTGACCATTTTCGCACGATTGTTACTTCAGTCGATGGAAAACGGAGTGAAAATACCCACCATTGAAAAGGGACAGTATTTTCTTAAAAATAGCATTAAAGTTTTGGCAAAAGCAGTAGACTTTTAAGAAAATTGATCATGTTTGACCATTTTCGCACGTTTGTTAGTTCAGTCGATGGAAAACGGAGTGAAAATACCCACCATTGAAAAGGGACAGTATTTTCTTAAAAATTACATTTAAGTGTTGGCAAAAGCAATAGACTTTTAAGAAAATAATCACGTTTGACCATTTTCGCACGTTTGTTACTTTAGTCGATGGAAAACGGAGTGAAAATACCCACCTTTGCAGTGGGACAGTATTTTCTTAAAAATGCATTAAAGTATTGGCAAAAAAAATAGACTTTAATGAAAATTGATCACGTTTGACCATTTTCGCACGTTTGTTACTTCAGTCAATGGAAAACGGAGTGAAAATACCCAATTTTGCAGTGAGACAGTATTTTTTTAAAAATAACATTAAAGTATTGGCAAAAGCAATAGACTTTTAAGAAAATTGATCATGTTTGACCATTTTTGCACGTTTGTTACTTCAGTCGAGGGAAAAAGGAGTGAAAATACCCACCTTTGCAAAGGGACAGTATTTTCTTAAAAATAACAAAAAAGTATTGGCAAAAGCAATAGGATTTTAAGAAAATTGATCATGTTTGACCATTTTCGCACGTTTATTACTTCGGTCGATGGAAAACGGAGTGAAAATACCCACCTTTGCAAAGGGACAGTATTTTCTTAAAAATAACATTATAGTAGTGGGAAATTTTAACTAAAAATTGGAACGCGAATACTAATAATTATAAACTGGGCGATCATGAAACGATTTGAGTGAAGGAACTCCTGTACTTTTCAATTACAGTAGATAACCTTGGCATTTAAGTAGGCTCTAAAATTTCTCTAAATCTCACTGTTCCTTCCTTCAATCAGGCTTCATTCCTTGCGGTGGATTGGACCGAGAAGCAACGATTAGGTAGGCCAAATTGAGGTTTTAATTAAGAACAAAATTTTAGTCGTATCATTTAAAAAACTTTTACAGACTTATCATTATACAGAATGGAAAATGACACCTCAATATACATTTTCTCATGGTAGATGAGTATAAGCTCCTGCATTTTTTTTAAACTCGTCCAGTGGCTAATTTAATCAGATAAAGTGCACTGAAAGGCAACCATTAGGATGCCACATTAGATAAAGGTTCATAAAACAGAGCTTCAGAGGCACGGATTAGATAGAAGTCAAAAATATCAACAGGATAGAAATTAAATTCTTATGCGGATAAATACCTAGGTCTTCACAAGCTTCAGAATATATGACCGCCCATGGGAAATGGGGCTTAGGTTATCTGAACAAAATTTTCAGGAGAGCGAATAAACATACAAAAGATTGAAATCATCGATTTTCTGTTTTTGACAGAAATCACTTCTTAACACTGAGGCATGAATAACTGAAAATAATTCTAAGTCATAATTTACTCTATAAACGGAGACATAAATGTTTGAACCGAGTGGTGTCCAGACTCGGCAATAGAGTTATGTTTTGGAAACTCAGAGTTTCTCAAAATTGTATGTTTTCATTCATTAACTTTAAACTGTTCTAAAAATTTTAATTTTTGGAATTTTTGGGCGTTCTTTGCGGCAAATAATGCAGAAAGAACCCTTCTAATAAGCAGTTGTATGACAATCTTGATATTTTGGTTTCATATAACTCGAGCCCCCATTTCCCACGGCCGGTCACATGTTCATATCTTCTTGTGGAACCCCCTTGAAAGTTGGCTGCCTCGATCATTTAAATGATATTATGACAGTATCAAGAACATGAAAGTTTCAAGATTTTAGAGCTAAAAGTTACCTACATGCATTGATATGAATGTCTGAATAATTGTGGGACGTAACCAGTCATGATTTTATAAGGTTTGAATACAAGAACTTACAACATCACTCTCAGCATTTACAAAGTGAACTTGATGTTGAATTTCTCATTTCTGCCGACTGAACTTTACTTATAAATGATGCTGTGCATGTGAAAACAGTTTAAATTTTGAAACATTTGTACCCGTACGAAAAAGTAAATTTTTATCAAGAACTTACAGATTCTTGCAGAATTGGTAAAATTAGTGACATCATTGTAGACTTAAGAGTTAAAAAAAAAAAAAAAACGACAGGTCTGAAAACATTGGCATTTGTATAAGCTCAATAATTTGACTTTAACTCTAGCTGTTTTATTCTATGCCAAAAGGCAACTATGGAAGCTTGGCGAACCATTGCTAAAACTGCTAACATTCATCGACGATCAAGTTCAAATATCGTAATAGCTTCTGCTTCAGATGCACTTGATGACAGTCTATCAGACTCATATGAGATCAATTTAAAAATTTATAGAAAGCATACATAATAACTTCATATTCAGATGTACTTTATTCATCAATGACTATAATTTCAAAAGTAACTTTCAAATCAGATGTACTTTATAATGATTCATTATTTGAAAATATAGCATTTACCAGCTCAATCAAACATGATTTATCATTCTCTTGTGTACAAAATCATCCAATAGAAACTAGTACTGAAAAGGTTACTTGGAATCTTAATTTTGTGACATTGAGAATTGCTTAACTTATACGATTCAATGACAATGTAAACCTCTGCAGGTTGAAAATGTCAGTATTCATATTGGGAATGTAACTCTCCAAAAGTTGACCGGCTCAAAACTTCTTTGATGAGGCTTGATTCCTTCCAGCGAACATTACGCCTTACGGCAACCATTAGGATGCAAGCCTTATTAAAGTATGACTGGTTTCAATACAACAGACATGGTCATCATTCAGCCATCATAAATCAGAAGCTAATATCGACATACGAACAATATTGTGCACGCTCCTACATGACTTAATTCCGAATCCTGTTAGAAGGAATCGGGATTAAGAGGTTGATTACATTACGAGTTGAAGGGTAGCTATCGCTAAAGGCTTCTGGCTTCGCCGCACGCCTAAAAAGAGTAAACTAAAAAACAAAAGAGATGATTTCCAGAGAACAAGCAAAATTATTTACAAGTACAGAAATTTGAAATAATAACAACCTATGTTACGAAATAATTGAAAACAAAATTAAATAGATAAATAAGAAACTAACATTTAAAAAAAAATTGATTTTTCTTCTTTCGATATTCTTTTTTCATTCTATCATTTTTAGAAAATAAAATTTTCACTCATTAAACATCTTAAAATTGTGCAGAGAAAATAGCTTGGAAAAAAGGGGTTCCTTCCCTTTTTCATTTTAATGCAATAACAAAACAAAAATCTGGTACTTAATGTTTCGCCAGGTGATGCTTCCTCCTTGTTGACGCATCGGCGAATCGTTTCTTGCATACCTGGAAACAGACAAGAGCAAAGACTTGAGAACATTTCTACAGCATTTATCAAACTAACAATATTTCAAAAACTCATTCACAATTGGGGCTCCAAAGTCGACTCTATTGCCGACTCTATGAGTTGAGCTGCTCAGAGACCGAGTCGGGACGCAAAACTCCCATACCTGAGAAGGAGTCGAAGTCGATCGTACCTGACGACTCGACTCTAGAGTCGAGGAGACGAGTCCCTGGGCCTAGCAAAGAGTTTTGCTCGGCGGAGAAATTGGGCAAAACTCTTGGACTGAGAAACTCATATCGTGAGGAAAATGCAAATGCTAAGGCGCAGTTCGATCCCGGCTGCAAAGAAATCCAGAAACTCTCGTCGGCCAGCAGAACAATACCAATTTCGGGTTTCATTGTTCGCATTGTTTACGCATTGTTTACCTACCTCCTACCTGACTGATTCTCTCATTGGCAGCTACCGGCGACTTGGCAAATAAATCCGACTACTGGATTATCATGTCTAGTTTGGGGTACCGGTGGCGAATTTTTCTCTGCCGTAAAAAGCAAATTTTAAAAACGGTTAGAGATACGACAAAATTGATCAAATGTTTGCCCTAAAAGGCTCGCAACTGACCAAAATCAATTTCACTCTCAAAATGCGCCAAGATATATGATGGACTCGGATCTTGAACCATGAGAGCATGGCTGCTGCTTCTGCCTCTTTCTCTGCTTTTGTCATGGGAACGGAGTTCCCCATGATATTGGAATCGTTCCGTTGCTTTCGCCATGGGATTCCCTATACCTCTGCGACCTTGAGCGTTTCGCCCAGTCTCCGATTTTTGGTTGATTTTCCGATGTATCAAAAACCGTTGTATTTTTTAGCCAATCATGTCTCTACGTCAAGTTGTGTTGATTGCTAAAATTCGCTTTCAGCGAGTTTTTTTCCACCTTGAGATGTCGTGTCTGACTGGTAAATCTGCGCAGAACCACGAAGTTCCGTTTTTAGGCAAATTCTTTTTTTTGGGAGGTTCTGATTGGTTATTTTTCGCCATCAGTTTTCTGTTCGTTGGTGCAAAAGATCGCCTACCTCGGTGTTCTTGAGAAGCCGCCATTATCCCACCTCAAATTTTAAACATAGATATAAAGAAATAATAACCATCGTACAAGGTGGAAAATTGCTCTGGAGGACCCGTTACGGATATATGAGCCAAAATCAGAACTCGATTGATGGATTTAATCCATGAATACAGAAATATTGCCTCAGCTTACTGCCGCGATCGCAAATCCATACTGAGATGAACCTTGTGACACATGACAGCATAGGTAAACAATGTCTCACAGAGTAATGCGCTTTAATCCGATGTCTCTTATGACGCCAGTGGCCGAACTGCCGAAATCTCAAGGTCGTCTTTTGTGAAGCCCCGCTCAGCGTCCGAGATCACTTAACTGTGCTATTTTCTCCTATATCTCTCCTACGGCGAGATGGCTCAGTCAGTAGAGTCACCATTCTGACGACGGGAAAACATCACTTTTTGTGCGAGCGGGGGTTCGAATCTCGCAGGGGACAGTTAATTTTTACTGGTTGTATTGAATGTTTTAGACCAATCATCAAACAATAATTAATACTTGGCAACTTAGGAAGCACATAGGTCCCTTACGATGCGTATTCGGGCATATGTGTAGAGTAAAAATATCATACGTAGGGTGTCCCAAAAGTACCGGGACTGGTTCTGTAACTTCAAAAGTAAGATAGATACAGACATGATTTTGGTCTCATTTTAAAGATCAACTCAATACCTATCGATTAAAACCAAGATCAGCTCAATCGGATAAAAATTGACCGAGTTATGACAATTTGAAATTAGTGAGGAAAGTTTACCCCTACGGTTTTTAGGAAGATTTTTCGCTTACCAGGATTCAAAAAGTTAATATTCGTATCCACTTTCCTCCGAATCTTCCATAACTTCCTTTTGCTTTTCAAAGTACCGTCCATCAAACCGGATGCACTTTTTCATGCGCTCTTGCCACTTATCCAACATTGTTTTCCTGAATTCTTCCTCTGGGATGGCGTTGAAAAAGTTTTGAATTGCATTCTGGATTTCGGTCTTCGATTCGAATCTTCGTCCACGAAGCTCCTTTTTAAGTGTAGGAAACATCCAAAAATCACATGGAGCCAAGTCAGGGCTGTAAGGGGGATGCGGGATTGTTTCAACTCCATTTTTACTCATAAATTCACGTGTTAAGCTCGATGTGTGAGGCCGCGCTTGTCTTGATGGAGTATCCACGAAGCTTTCAAGTCCGACCGTTTCCGGGAAATGTGCATTCTCAACTCCTTTAGCACTTTGCAATAATACGCACTGTCAACTGTTGTGTTTGGTTGTACAAAATGTTGATATATGACACCTCGAAAATGAAAAAAACACAATAAGCATCACTTTATAGGCCGACTTTTTGATTTACGGCGATGAAGAATCTTCCTTAAAAACCGTAGGTGTAAACTTTCCTCGCGGATTTCAAAGTGCCATAACTTGGTCAATTTTTATCCGATTGAGCTGATCTTGGTTTTAATCGATAGGTATTGAGTTGATCTTTAAAATGAGATCAAGATCATGTCTGTATCCATCTTACTTTCGAAGTTACAGAACAAGTCCCGGTGCTTTTGGGACACCTTTTGTATACTTTACGCCGAATAAGCGAACCTGAAACTTAAATGCGGTAACTTCCGAAAACCATAAATAATCCAACGAAAATAAATGATTGGTACATAACAGCTTTCTTGTATGCAAAGAAAATAATTAAAAATGTTAAAAAAGAGATGTCAACACAAAATTACATAGCCCCTTCAATTCAGAAGATACTACAAACGAACTGTACCTTAACATTTTCATATCCCAGAAGCTAACGTTCCCATGACGAATATTGCTATCGCTAGCGATTGCAGAATCCAACTTGTTTCATATTACCTTCTTCTTCTCTCTTTTGCTTTGTCTGTTGGGCCTTAGTTCGTGAAAAACGACACTTAAACTACACAAAGTAAAAAATAAATAATAACGCACGTAAAAAAGAGATTTTTCAAAAAAACCAGGTCCTTCATTCTTATAAAATAGTGAGAAGAAAAGGTCTAAGAGTAAATGAAATATTTAAAAAGAAATCGAGACTTTACTGATTTCTTTCGTTCGGAATTATTGAACAACTTCACAAATTTAAATAAATGACATGTAATCATTTAGGCTGAGCACAGTCTCCAAAATATAACATTTAATTTGTGATTAATTATTTCACAAGGCATCGCAGTGTGGGGGACAGTATCCCACACTGGAAAAAACCCCATTATCCCACCCCCTCGCGAGGGCAAAGGATTAAGGGGTAGAGAAAGGGGAGGAGAAAGGGGAAAGGGGGACTTTTCCTGGCTCACCCAATGTCCAGCCCCACTAAGGACCGATCCAGAGTATGTAATGTGTAATGTTTAAGGCGCCCGGGCGTCGTGTGGATGTGTTCGCGAAAGATAGTTGAGCGACCCCGGATCGGTTCATCCACAGTGGCACCAGAAAACGAGAATGTTACTCACTCTTAAAATCTCAAAGGAAAAGGGGAGGCAACCACGACACCAGCTTTAAGAGCTCTAGGGCGGCTAACAGATCCGTCACAAACGCCTTATCCGTCGCAAAAAGTGGGAACTGGACTATTATTCACATGGAAAGGTGGGTGAAACCATTCCCCCTGGCTCTTTGCCAGGCGGCGCCACGATTCACCAACCTTTTAGTGGCTCCAGCAAGTACCTCCCGCTCCACGGGCGGGATTGCACCGCAATCATTACAGGGACAAGATCAAGCGTCCATCACGAATTCTCTTATCTATACACCTAGTTACCTCAATCAGGATTAAGGTCGCTTTGTTGCCACCCGACCCCAAACCGTCTTGAGACCAAATGCATGGAGACCAGTAGCAGCAGTCACACACCCTTCTCTGGGGGAGGGGGAAAGAAGAGATGGGTAGGAAAAACTTGTTGTGTAGATACAGAACATGCCCATCTCTCATCACACTGCCGGACCCTCGCCGCCCAAAAAGGGCAAAGGGGGTGCGCCAGTGTGGGGTGACTCGGATTATCCCCGCGGGTGCGTCAGGCCCGAGAGTCCCCCATGGAGGTGGCATTAGGGTTACGCCACTCTCCTTTGGGAAAGACCCCCCGTGCGGGGTAATTATTTTTTTTGAATTACTAATGATCATTATAATAATTTTTTTGAAGATAACTTCATCTCGCCTCAACTCTTGGCACTTGAAGAGCGCGACGGGCCCCGTAACTCGGCCATAAAAGCGGAAGTTACGAGGGGGGAGTATGGAAGGGTTCCTAAAAAGTAGGGGGGGGGGGGGGATTTTTCAAATTTTCTCTCAGGGCGCTTACACCACCACACCAAGCTCCTCGGGCAGATCCATGAATTTACGCACAATGCGGCATGTCGATGGCTAAAGTCGAAAACCACGTATCTCCGAAATGACCACTTTTCAGGAGGGACAAAAAACTTCTTTCCCTTTTAATTTGAACTCGCTACTTTCGAAAACCGGGTAAAGTACCTAGTATTGTTCTTAATGACTATAGACCTGTTGGAGCATTTTAAACGATGCAGAATTAAATATTATCGAAAAACTGACGAAACCCCAAGATACGTGTTTTCCCTCAATTTCACCGCGCACTTTCCTCCGAGATACGTGTTTTTCGCATTAGCAGTCAGATAAGAAACTGACTTCAGTTATCCACGTATGCATCAAAATCAGTGCAAACGCTTTATCACAACACTTGACACTTTGCCACTTAGAAGCATTAATTAAACATTAATTTATCTTCTGGGAACTTTGAATATTTTCATCATTATAAAGGGTACCCAGAGCTTCTATTTCTGGCCAACAGATATGCTTCTAGTGAGCTCGTTTTAGAGCAGGAAGCTGTTTGTTTCATTTCCTTAGGTATCACCATTTATACGAAATTAGTCAATAAAATTTATTTACCCGCTCAAGAAAACATTACGAAGACACTAATATAGTGATGCACAAATAGGAATAAAATTTAAAATGATTATTTGGTTTACTTTTACAGTTTTACAAGTAAAAAGTTGAACAAATATCCGGATTCATACGGGGTCAATAACATTTTGATTGTGATACGAAAAATGGCGGGAATATTTGAACTTTGTTGACTTGATGATTCGAGTTTCATCAGAGGTGCGTTTTGTTGCATCTGCGGTATGTAGTATCTCTGAAAAACGTAACACTCATGAATGATACACCAAAGTTATAGGTACAGTTCCGCTTGTGTGCACGTACTGGAAGGTCGCGTCGCTTTGGGCTCATGATCAAGCAATCTCTTTATCAGGCCATCTTTATTTTTTCTTCCTATTTTTATCCTTACTCATCCTCCTTATTTCACGTTTCCATTCTCATCTTTCGTTCTCGCCCTATCCCTAAACACCTTTTTCTCCGACGTGCACCTTTTCCTTGATCCAACCCAGGCTTACCATGTGCATTTTATGTACATGGGTGCCGTCATAGAACTTGAGTTAACCCCAAGGGTATTGTTGACCCTTTAATCCTCCACTATTTAAAAAATTTGTCTATAGTTGGCTGTTCACATAGTGCGAACAAAAGCCGTAAAACTTACATAATAAAAAAAAAAAAAAAAAAAAAAGTTATAGGTTCAGTCTTGTTGGCGTTCTTCTGCCGAGAGGTTACGTCGCCGCGGGCTCAAGATCAGGGAGTTACCTATTAGGCCATCTTTAGTTTTTTCTGCTACTTTTATCCTTTTTTCTTGTTTGGTGAAGAGCAAAAGAAAAGAATACGCCAGTAAAGTCGGCAGATAACTAGATAACTTTATTAACAAACAATCGAACTTTTATACTAAAACAAGACTGGTTCATTGACGTCAACACCTGGCGCCAATGACCTTACCGAGAGTCGGCAGCGGCCGGCTCGCACACTTCAAACATAAACATCATAGCAGTTATACATAACACGACATTTTACATCTGTCTTATAATTTCCTTTCATCCTCATCTTTTGTTCTCTCCCCATCCCTCACCTCCTTCTTCTCCGACCTACACTGACTCCTTGATCCAACCTGAGCTTACCTCTTGCACTTATGCACAAGGGTGCTTACATGGAACTTGAGAAAACCCTAGGGTATTGATGAGCCTTAATTCCTATTTAAAACCCCAAATATGTCTATAGTTGGCTGCAGGCTCCTCAATTGGTAGTATAAGCCATAAAACCCGCATAAAAAAAAAAAAAAAAGTTATAGGTTAGGGACGCCGCGTGTAAATGAATACATTTTCAGTGATAAATAATGATTTTTACATTGCCGGATAGATAGCGCCAACTCTCAATATGACATATTTCTGAAGAAAGAAGCTGTGACATTGCATAAGCGAGTAATTGAAGGCGATTTCTTATTCTTATTCTTAATGCGGAAAAAACGTATCTCCAGGCAGACAACGGTGTGAAATTGAAGGAAACCATGGATCTCCAACTCCCGCAAGTTTTTCGTTATTATTTCTCGCTAAATCATTTAAAATGTTCTAAAAAGTGCATAGTAGATACCAACAACACTTTCTTCACATGTTTTAGCCGGTTTTGGAACTTATTGGGTTTGAATGAAAAGGAAAAACACTATCTTGGCTCTCCTGAAAAGTTGACTTTTTGGAGATACGTGGTTTCCGAATTTAGCCATCGAAATGCTAAAGTCTTGACAGCTTTGCCGCACGACTAAAAAAAAACAAAACTGGCACAGATTTTTTACTTACCATGCATAGAAAAGGCTTGTGCCCTGTGTGGATATACATGTGAACCCTCAGGTTCGACGGACACGAAAACTTCGCGGCACAAAATTCACAGGGAAATGGCTTCGTGAAGCCTTCAGATCTGTGCAAATTCATATGGTATTTTAAGTAGTTTGCTGCCAGCATTTTTCCACAAGAGGGACATTTCTTTTTCCCTGCAAAGAAACAGATAACTCCTATTACATTACCCAATAATGTATAGTGGAAATAAAATTGTATCCAGGAAAAACACAGTTTGACATTCGGACTAATCTGTATCATTTTATTTGGTTTTTCGAACGATGGGGCTCTTGCGCCTTTTTTTTTTTTTTCTTTCTTCTATTTAGTTCATTTTCTGAAAGTACTCGAAAAATACGAAATCCGCCATTAAAATGCTACTAGCTTACTACTGGAGGCTTTCAAAGTTGCTAAGATACGACTCCAAAAAAAAAGAAGAAAAAAAAAAAAAAAAAAAAAAAAAAAAAAAAAAAAAAAAAAAAAAAGGTGCAAGTTGACTGGAACCTTGAATGGACAAGGTGTACGTGGAAAGGACAAAAACTAAAAAGCATCCTTCCAAACATTAAAAAAAAACCCTGGTTTCATGGCCTTAACTGGCACAGGAATGATATCAAGAACATCATTAGACTCAGAACAGAGCATGGACTGTTCCCAGTCCACCTAAAGCGAATAAATCTCAAAGATTCAGACCTCTGCGAATGTCGTCTACCGGGAGACTTAAATCACATTATTTTTGAATGCCCCCTTTTAAACCACAGAGACTCATTCTATAACGATCTAATCAAAAATAACCTCTTACCACCTTTTAACATTCCCTCAATTCTCGCAGACAATAATTTAAATACTTATAAATTATTAGCCAATTTCCTCAAAAACAACAAAATAAAACTATGAACATCAAAATAACAAACCAAAACTCCTTTTTATTTATCTGTATTTTATTTTATATCAATTTTCCTGATACCTTTAAGTCCCTTTGTATGTAATCCATGGCTCAGTCCATCGGGTTAGGAAGTCACCTCGATGAGCCTCGAGGTGTGAAAAGGTGGTGGTTAGTTGTGTGTCACCCTCACCCTTACCTCACCTCTCTAATCCCGTAACACTTTGTCGATACCTTTAGGTGGCTGTAGGATCCTCAATGGATTAGTAAGCCAATATAAACCAAAAAAAAAAAAAAAAAAAAGATACGACTCCTGCTTGAAATGGAACAATTTCGCAGCAATGCAATCATGTGATGTCAGAGGTATCAGGTTCGTCGCGTATGTTCCATAGAATAACAAGTTGGATTCTGCAATCGCTAGCGATAGCAATATTCGTCATGGGAACGTTAGCTTCTGGGATATGAAAATGTTAAGGTACAGTTCGTTTGTAGTATCTTCTGAATTGAAGGGGCTATGTAATTTTGTGTTGACATCTCTTTTTTAACATTTTTAATTATTTTCTTTGCAAACAAGAAAGCTGTTATGTACCAATCATTTATTTTCGTTGGATTATTTATGGTTTTCGGAAGTTACCGCATTTAAGTTTCAGGTTCGCTTATTCGGCGTAAAGTATACAAAAGGTGTCCCAAAAGCACCGGGACTTGTTCTGTAACTTCGAAAGTAAGATGGATACAGACATGATTTTGATCTCATTTTAAAGATCAACTCAATACCTATCGATTAAAACCAAGATCAGCTCAATCGGATAAAAATTGACCAAGTTATGGCACTTTGAAATCAGCGAGGAAAGTTTACGCCTACGGTTTTTAAGGAAGATTCTTCATCGCCGTAAATCAAAAAGTCGGCCTATAAAGTGATGCTTATTGTGTTTTTTTCATTTTCGAGGTGTCATTTATCAACATTTTGTACAACCAAACACAACAGTTGACAGTGCGTATTATTGCAAAGTGCTAAAGGAGTTGAGAATGCACATTTCCCGGAAACGGTCGGACTTGAAAGCTTCGTGGATACTCCATCAAGACAAGCGCGGCCTCACACATCGAGCTTAACACGTGAATTTATGAGTAAAAATGGAGTTGAAACAATCCCTCATCCCCCTTACAGCCCTGACTTGGCTCCATGTGATTTTTTGATGTTTCCTACACTTAAAAAGGAGCTTCGTGGACGAAGATTCGAATCGAAGACCGAAATCCAGAATGCAATTCAAAACTTTTTCAACGCCATCCCAGAGGAAGAATTCAGGAAAACAATGTTGGATAAGTGGCAAGAGCGCATGAAAAAGTGCATCCGGTTTGATGGACGGTACTTTGAAAAGCAAAAGGAAGTTATGGAAGATTCGGAGGAAAGTGGATACGAATATTAACTTTTTGAATCCTGGTAAGCGAAAAATCTTCCTAAAAACCGTAGAGGTAAACTTTCCTCACTAATTTCAAATTGTCATAACTCGGTCAATTTTTATCCGATTGAGCTGATCTTGGTTTTAATCGATAGGTATTGAGTTGATCTTTAAAATGAGACCAAAATCATGTCTGTATCTATCTTACTTTTGAAGTTACAGAACCAGTCCCGGTACTTTTGGGACACCCTACGTATGATATTTTTACTCTACACATATGCCCGAATACGCATCGTAAGGGACCTATGTGCTTCCTAAGTTGCCAAGTATTAATTATTGTTTGATGATTGGTCTAAAACATTCAATACAACCAGTAAAAATTAACTGTCCCCTGCGAGATTCGAACCCCCGCTCGCACAAAAAGTGATGTTTTCCCGTCGTCAGAATGGTGACTCTACTGACTGAGCCATCTCGCCGTAGGAGAGATATAGGAGAAAATAGCACAGTTAAGTGATCTCGGACGCTGAGCGGGGCTTCACAAAAGACGACCTTGAGATTTCGGCAGTTCGGCCACTGGCGTCATAAGAGACATCGGATTAAAGCGCATTACTCTGTGAGACATTGTTTACCTATGCTGTCATGTGTCACAAGGTTCATCTCAGTATGGATTTGCGATCGCGGCAGTAAGCTGAGGCAATATTTCTGTATTCATGGATTAAATCCATCAATCGAGTTCTGATTTTGGCTCATATATCCGTAACGGGTCCTCCAGAGCAATTTTCCACCTTGTACGATGGTTATTATTTCTTTATATCTATGTTTAAAATTTGAGGTGGGATAATGGCGGCTTCTCAAGAACACCGAGGTAGGCGATCTTTTGCACCAACGAACAGAAAACTGATGGCGAAAAATAACCAATCAGAACCTCCCAAAAAAAAGAATTTGCCTAAAAACGGAACTTCGTGGTTCTGCGCAGATTTACCAGTCAGACACGACATCTCAAGGTGGAAAAAAACTCGCTGAAAGCGAATTTTAGCAATCAACACAACTTGACGTAGAGACATGATTGGCTAAAAAATACAACGGTTTTTGATACATCGGAAAATCAACCAAAAATCGGAGACTGGGCGAAACGCTCAAGGTCGCAGAGGTATAGGGAATCCCATGGCGAAAGCAACGGAACGATTCCAATATCATGGGGAACTCCGTTCCCATGACAAAATAGAGGGCGCGGGTTGTGAACAGAGCGCGTTACAAACCCAAATCTGCGTTGCTTCACTTGAGCGGCAAAATAGTGGAACACAGTACCAATCGCCTGTATATTCTCATGGCAGATATCGCATTTTTAACTATGTCTCGTTCCTTTAAAATTCATTAGACCTTTCTAAAATTTTCAGTACCTCATCTTCTCACTTTTCAGTTGGACGTATTTATGCGAAAAGGAGCTATGTGCAAGCGAAAAGATGGGGATTGCTCGTTAGTTGGGTCATAAGAAACAATGTAAAAGTGGATATACCTCCTTTTGAAAAAACTGAAAAGCGGGATTTTTAATTAAATCAAAAGGAGCTAAGCGCCAAAATATGCTAACTCATGAGCCGTGGGCATGCGGCAAGAGCCTTGTGGACAGGGCTCATGAGTTAAAGCGCTCCGACGTCGAGCTCGTTCGTCGTCGTCGTGACGGTCGTCACCGCTGACGTCACTGGCGCTTTATATTCCCCATTCATTCTTATGGCCCGACCACTAACGAGCACACCCCATCTTTCCACTTCCACATAGCTCCTTTTCGCATAAATACGTCCAGTTTTGAAATCCATTGATACTTTTTTCCTGGGACAAATACTTTTTAAACTGTACGCAGTTAAATTACCGAGAATTACCATTGTCGCTTATCGGTGTGTTCCATTAATGGTTTTCGCGGTTCAGGACACGCATGCGTAGAGACCGAAATCACGCAAACGGTCTCCCATTTTTTGTAACGCACTCCGTTCACAGCCCGCGCCCCCTATTTTACTCGATGGTATGTTCCGACCCGTGTTTACGTCCCATAGAAATATTTTCGAATCAAAAATCCACTTGGGAATGGGGTGTGCCCAAGGTAGAGATAGAGCAGTTTTAAGCATTGTTTCTCAATATTTAAGCGACACGGTTGCCTGCCTTCCCCCCATCGTGATTACCTTTGAGCTAGGCTTCACCCGTGCGGTATCCAGATATGTATTAATTCATGGGTCCACTTAAATCGCAAAAATTTGAACGAGAAAAACGGAAGAGGAAAATAAGTGAAAATGAGGCAAAATTAACAACTTCTTGTGAATCTGAAGTGAGTTTCAGACAAGTTGTAACTTGTCAAAAGTCGGTTCAACACAGCACCGTGTTATGTTGATGAATCAATGTACTCTCTGACCAATGACCAACAACACCGGAGATGGCCAATGATGGTAATGGGTAAAACATACCTCCTTTCGGATTGGGCACACATTAAAATTTTTAGATGTTAGGTAATCCTCCAAGCTATACTGTGTTAACGTACCTATTTTGCATCGGAGTTTTCTGACCGTCTGAAACATGACCATAAAAAAAAAAAAATTAGCTTTTTGTAAACTAATTCACAGCAGTGCAACTGGTTTTACAATGAATATATTTGAAACACGAGCAATTTAATTTCATAGGCAAATCATACTTTAAGGTGATTCCTCCCGGGATTCGATTCGCAAATTTCCGATAAGAGATCGCGCTAGCGTCGGTTTTACCGCGAAATTTGAAATGAGGGTCATGTCCCGAGTTTTCCCAAAAATTTGGGAAATGATGGAAGAATTTCGAAATTCTAACGAACCATCGCTGTAGCTAGATATATGAACTAAATGTATGTCAAATATCGTAGCAAAAATCCTACAAATAAAGTCAAACGACACTGAACGGCGGGTGAACTCATGGGCGGCCTCAGAAGATGACGAGTGTTTCAAGCAATTTATTCAAAATCGGCATAAAAATTCGAGACTTAGATGAAGTAAACGTATAGCCCATACATTCAGTGAATTTCTTGCAAAGTTTCAATCCTCAAAAAAAATTTCCAACGGAAAACGAAGGTAAACGGTTATGACAGTCCGCGTTTGACTACATGCGCCATGTTGCCACATAATTCTCGTATTTTGTTCAGTAACGGACAATCGAGATTCGGATGAGCGAGAAGCGGAAAGTGCAGTGAGTGAGCGTTCAGCTCGTGAGAGGAGAGTCAGCTGTTCGAAAATTTCCTTTTACTCTTTTTCCCTCTACTCTGCTCGTGTTGAGTTTTTATTTTGCTTGTCAGTGAATTCCGTCCATCCCGTCCCAACATCTTAAATTTTATTTTATACTTTTTTTTCAGTTTTGCGACTAACAAGGCTTATCGTTTTTTTTTTCTTTACTTTCATGTCTCTGCTCCCCCTCTCAAATTATTCACAGCGGGGTTTAAATTTTGGTGATACTATATTATTTACTAACTCTACAAATAAGAACCCCCCCCCCCACCAATGTAGAAAAGTTAGACTTTTCCGATATTAACCTAAATACACTGTTCGACCAAAAATAAATAAATAAGAATTCTTCTGGTCCAATTTTTCTGGACCGAAAGTTTTTCCGGACGGTTTCCACTTCCGGGGAGATTTTTTCCGGGGCCATATTCGGGGTTATCAGCCTGAATTTCATGAAAATCGATGCATCACACATACAAAAAATTGTTAAAATTTCCCGAGATTCCTAGCCTTGGGAAGAATTTCCCCGGAGGTGTAAACCGCCCGGGAAAGCTTTTGACCCAGAAAAATTGGATCTTCCAGAACACGGGGGGTTCTCAGAGACCAGTGAAGGTCAAATTCGGGTTCAACGTGTCTTAATACAACAGAGGAAACCTGAAGAGGATCTCGAAAAATTCCTAAAACCCCTTATCGAACAGGAAAATCGTCGCAAAAATACCAAAAAACTTCGTTATCCGAGGAAAATCGACTTTCCCGGTAAAATAGTGAACGATAGGAAAAATCTGAGATATGCTTGGACTCAGCGAATCAAAATACATAAGGATCAATAATATATCGAACATTGGAGAAATTTTGAAAATGTATTTTCAATACACTTTTGAGTCCGGGAAAGCTTTCACACAAATTTAGGCTTGGAGAAATTGGCTTCAACGGAAATCTGTAGGGTGATGGATAAAACCAAGGTCATATTCGGATTCAGGAGCTGAAAATATATAAGAATCACTCTACCATGGTTTCAGGAAAATCCATAAAAGTAAATTGCTTACATGACAAATGTGCGTCAAATTTGCTCATTTTTTTCCCGCGAAAAAGTCGCTTTTCCGGAAAACTGAAAGGTATTATTATCCGATCCAGCACCTTCTTAGGCAACCTTTCATCAGGCATCCTTTACACATGACCATACCAGACAAACAGTTTCGTGAAAATGTCATGCTGTATGCTGTTTTCGACGCCCATAATTTCACGTATCCTTTTATTGCCAAATGTGATCCGAATATAATCTCACATTTTTTAGAAGAGCCTTCCAGAACTCTCTCTGAAAAAGGGTTTACTCTGAAAGGGTTAAGAAGGTCCACTACTATCCCCATTTGACCTCTAAGAGGTAGAGATTTAGGCGGTCCGCACCATAATCTGCGCCAGGAGCCCATAAAAATACACCCGAAATCGGCTCTGAGCCCCGGTTTTTTAAAGTTCTGCAGAAAATTTTTTTGTATCTCAGGAATTATAAATTCAATCGTAAAGAATAAATATTTTCTCACAGGGCCGGATTAAGGGAGTGGCCAAATGGGCCGCGGCCCATGGCGGCAAATCTATAGGGGGCGGCAAATTTTGCAATTTTTTTAATTGTAGGAATAAAAAAAAATCGAATTTAGAAAAAAAATTACAAACGAGAGAAGGCGTCATTATCTCTCATTTCCTGAGAGTATACTAATTTCTAATTTTGTCGTCTTTCAGATATACAAGAGACAGCACCTTTAATTATTCAAGTTAAGAGAGAAACCAAACAGTTAAAACACGCGATTTGGCCCGGAACGGTGCGACTTAGAGAGAAATGATAAAAAGGACTTTAGATAAAACGGAGAAGCCCTCAGCGCGGCGATCGGCATTAACACATGTTAGCGCCTACAAGACTGCACGAATACTTCACGCATTGCATCAAACAGAGTGCGGTCATTGCGGTCAGCGTAAAACGGATAGCGCCTACAAGACTGCACGAATACTTCACGCATTGCATCAAACAGAGTGCGGTCGCATTGCGGTCAGCGTAAAACGGATAGCGCCTACAAGACTGCGTGAATACTTCACGCATTGCGTCAATCACAGTGCGGTCAGCGCGGCGCGGCGCGGCGGCGGAAGTTAAAATCATTAATCCACATTTATGTTTGTTCTTTCCTAATTTTTTCGTTCATTTCTTAGGAATGGAAGGCCTTGTCCACGCAGAGATAGGTTTGCGAAACTTAACTTCCGCACAAAGTTCCGTGAACTTGTGTTAGTAGGTAGTGTTGACAGGGCTTTCGCAAAAAATGTGTCCAACACGAGTAAACGCGTCTTATGCACCCCTCCCCCGCTGGCACGTTCATTTGATGGTTTTTATTGATGTTTCAAAACGAATGAGAAGTGGGCGGCAAAATACAGGCGGCCCATGGGGCATGGGCGGCAAGTAGGTAAATCCAGCCCTGTTTTCTGATCCTCGAGCCGAAGAAATAACGGGGATGAAAATAGGGTGGGAGGAGGGCTCCTCCAGAAAATAAAGTGTACTGACTGCTCTTTAAGAGAAAATTCTTATAGTTAGAAGATCAAAAAACAGGATGTAACTATATAAACCCTGAAATAATGGAGATGTTGCATGTGTGAGGGATTTGCAATTTGACCATTGGTTGTTACGTAAAAGTTCGCGAGAAACACGATGATGCCACTGGTTTTCTCTGAAATCATCTCCCAAGCTCGAAAAAAGCTCTCAAGTTGAGTCCAAAATGGAGGGGATATCCCAGTCTATATACCCTGAGAGTCCACCTCTACATTAAAACAAACTCTCCATGCAAAGATAGGGAGCAAATACATTGGCAGGGTTGCCACTTTATTTGGGGACTCTAAAACTGAAAACACGGCATCACTGCTAATGTATTTGCTCTATATCTTTGCATGGAGAGTTTTTTTTGATGTAGAGGTAGACTCTCAGGGTAGGGTGGGATATCCCCTCCATTTTGGCCTCACTTTTTTTTTTTTTTTTTTTTTTTTTTATTTNTTTTTTTTTTTTTTTTCTATTAATTTATTGTAAAACTATCACTTACAGGATATTAAATACATTGTTCCTAATACTAATTACATGGACAAAATAAACAACAGAGTAGTTTATTACTATACTAATATAGTGACCAGAGGTCACTTGCTAAGGAGTTATACTCCTAGATGAGAAAGTCCAACGGACTAGAATGAAGCCATGGAAGCTAACTCCCATGGCTTTGTTCTCTTGAGTCTTCTCAGCTCGTTGGTGTTATCCAAAAGAGCCAATGCTTCTACATTGGGATGGGAATGAAGACGGTTCTCATATCGCACCGCGATTTTATAAATATATTCTTTGACCGTCTCCATTCCCAGATCCCTATGTATGTCGCTATTCCTCTCAAACCATCTAGCAGACACAATTTTTCTAAGAATTTTGTTTTGCAAAGTTTGTAGCCTGTTAATGTTTGAGGGTGCAGCACACCCCCAAATCTGCGCACCATAAGCCCAGGTAGGACGGATGATTTGTTTGTAAATTAAGATTTTATTGAAATTGCTTAATGTTGATTTGTTGCCTAACAACCAATATAGCTTATTGAATTTATAGTTACATTCTTGTCTTTTTATTTTTATGTGAGGTTTCCATTTCAATTTGGTGTCTAAGGTGAGACCTAAATACTTAGCAGTATCAGATATTGATATAAGGGTATTACAGAAGTTAATTTGCTGATTACTATTAAAGGATCTATTAGAAAAAATTTTGAATACTGTTTTTGAGGAGTTCATAGCAATGTCTTTTTCATCTTTCCAGTTTTCTACATTACGTAAATTATTTTCTAATATATCGATAGCTATATTTTGTGTCTTATGGGCGGCCAGATATGCTGTATCGTCAGCATATTTCCCTAGTATGGCTTCTCTAACTGGTTTAGGGATATCAGAAGTAAAAATAAGATATAAAAGAGGACCAAGTACTGATCCTTGTGGAACTCCAGCAAGAATCTGGCGTCGAGATGAAAGGGCTTCCCCTACTCTCACTTGGAAGGTTCTTCCCGTTAAGTATGATCTTAGCAATTTAACATGAGCGGATGGAATTAAGCGTGACAGCATTCTAATCAGTAATTTATGGGAGACCTTGTCGAATGCTTGTGCTACATCCAAGAAGGCAGCAGCGCAATATTCTCTTTTTTCCAGGGCCTTTTCTATAAAGCTAGTCACCCTATGTAATTGCTCTATTGTGGTGTGCTTGGCTCTAAAGCCAAATTGATGATCAGGGAGGATATTTTTGCAATTTATTTCTTTTAAAAGCCTAGGTAAATATGTTC